AAAAAAAGAAAAAAACAAGGACAAAGGCACGAAAGCAGAGGGGCAGGGTCAGGAAAGACAGGGGCCTTTGAAGGGGACAAAATGGGGATACACATATTTGAGAACTGATTATCTGGTCTGTTCTCATGGAGGCTAAGAAGTCTTTGCATGAGCCAGATTGTGTGCAAATGGGGATCTCCTCTGATGAAAATAAGGATAGCATTTTCCATGAGGAACTTGTTTCCATGCTCTTGTCCCAACCCATGGGGTGGCGGGGAAGTGTAACGTTCTTTCTACACCTGAGAAACCGAGGCTAGAAACGTGTTCAAAGTTATTCAGGTAGGTAGCACCCAAACCAGAGTTAGAGTCTGTCCTGACCTGTGTTCATGCATAGTCCCCAAAGCTGCTGTGATGTTGGCAAGTGTTGGGCCTTTCAGTGTGTTGCAGTATGCTGTGAGATGTGGGTGCTTTTTCCTTTTTTTTTTTTTAAGTAGGCTCCACGCCCTGTGTGGAGTCCATTGTGGGGCTCAAACTCATGATCCTGAGATCAAGACCTGAGATGAGATCAGGAGTCGGATGCTTACCCGGCTGAACCACCCAGGTGCCCCATCTGTGGGTGCTTTTAAGTTAAAATCTCTCAGCAGTGAGAACCTGTAGTCCTGGACAGAGTGTGGCTCAGGTCTGTTGGGTGGCTGGAGCGGTGGCTGGAGCCCAACACATCCTGGCCCGGCTGCAGGGACTGGGGGCGAGACTTTGCACGACCATCAAGGACAAAGGAGCAGGTGTAGGGCTTGGGAGAAGCCTGCATGGTTCAGGCAGGAGGTGGGGAACTGTTGGTTGTGTTTTAAATGGTGTTGTTATGCTCACTCCTGGATTCTTGTTCTACTCAGAGGGAGAGGGGCTTGAAGGCTTTGACTGGGTTGCAGGCACCGAAGCTAGAGAAGAAAATACGGGGAGCCCTGCTGCTTGGAGTACAGTCTTCAGTGGTCCGTGTGGGTGTTGGTGGGAGAGAGGCTGTGGTGATTTCCGGCTGAATGCATGCACAGTGGTGCGGTCTCTCCTGGGAGTGTGGGTGGGAAGAGGGGCTGCTTGGGGACTAGCTGTACAGCTTGGTGCTCCAGTGCCACTTGGGGAAGAGTGAGCCATTCGGTGGGACAGCCTGTAGGTGGGAGAGCAGGGCCCGGAGTTGGCGAGGGTAAGGGCCTGCAGGTGCGGGTGAGGTCTTGGGGGGAAGGAGGACAGGTGTGGGCTCCCGAGTCTGACTGGAGAGGAGGGAAAGTGCAGGGGAGCACCCTCCACGGACAAGCTTTTGGAAGGTGGGATGGGACCAGTGGAGCTGTTCAGGTGATGTGACAGAGGGCCAGACCCTGAAGATGGCATGGCGAGGAGGCGACCGGGCTTGCAGGAAGGATGTCCTGGAGACTCGGGACTGTTGGTAGGGACGGGGTGGGGAGAAGTGGGCAGGGAGCTCAGTGGGGATCGTGTGAGCATGGGGACTGGGGGGGGGGGGCATACCAGCTGTAGAAGCACTGCCAGTGTAAAGGCAGGGGGTGGGATGAGACGCTGGGTGTGAGGGAGGTGTGTTCTGTGGTTTAGGGTCATCTGGGCAGTTTGTGGCAACTGGAGTTTTACGACAAGCCGTTTGAAGCCCCAACAGATGCCGTGGGATGTCTCTGTGACATCTGATTGTGTGGCGCTCTCTGCGCGTAATTGTACTGGGCTTGGATTGGAAGGAAAAATACCAACTTTCCGGTGGGAAGAAAGACCAATGGTGACCTGTGCAAAGTGGGACTAGATTGTGAGCAGAGGCGGGACCCGGACCAAGGTCTCTGGACTCCTGGATGGACATTTTCTGGATGACCACAGCCTTCAAAACCACCGGATCCTGCGTCCCTTTTTCTTCCTAACCTGTTTCGTCACTCTTTTCATTTGTCCTGTTTTGGGACTTGGGCCGTCATCTTTTTTACTATTTTTTTTTTGCTGTCAACCCGTCTTATTTTCCCGTGTTCTCTTCTGAAGAACAGATTCTTCACTTTTATCTGCTCCCTATTAGATTTTCTGAGCTTCAGATAAAATAAAACGGATTTGCATCTAGAGTTAGCATAGTGGGATGAAGCTTTGAATCTTTTTCTTTGCAGAGTACAGCACTAGACTAGGTGCACAGAGGCAGGTACATGAGGAGTAGTTAATTGCTAGAATTAGTGGGAGATCTTACAAGGTCTGAGCTTACTATAAAATGTCGTGGGTTTGTAGACCGTGATAGCAGGCTGTCCGCAGTTAGGTACCGTGTGGGCGTGAATGCAGTGAACATTCTGGTAAGTGTGTAGCAGGTCTAGCCTTGTCACCTGGGCGGTGACTCCCTTCTCCTGCAGCGCAGGCTCCTCCTTGCGGCAGAGCAGAACCTGTGCCTGAACCTCTGGCCGTTGAACAGCGAGAAGGTGATGCAGGTGTGTGCTCATCAGCTCTGATTTTCCCGCCTTTCAGTGGCCCCGCACACTCTGGGATTTCACTGATTTTCCACCAGAAAAGTTGCAGCTCTGGGAAGTCACAGACACATCTGGTGCTTATTTGTGGGATTCAGAAGGTCCTGTTTTGTGTCTTAACTCTTCTGCGTAGCATTTCGCCATTGTTCGGCTTTCACTGCAAGGTGGTTGAAACCCCTGGCTGAAAACCATGTTTGCTAACAGAGTCAGCGTTAAGTCACATTTCGGCAGCCCGAGCAGATGGGGCGTCTGGTGCCCGTGTCCTTGGCGGGGTTGCAGCTCCTGGGCCGCCATTTGCCTGCAGGTTCTGGGTGGGGCTGGCAGGTGGGTTTGGGCGGCAGGGCCTGTTAGAGCCCCCTCTGCAGGGAGAGTGGTCTGGATGGCCCTGCTGGCCAGCGTGGCTGAGGGAGTCTTGCCCCAGCATTTGACCCCCTGGGAGTGAGGAGCTGGGGCGTCCCTGGGCTTTGCCGTACGTGTGACACAGTCCAGTCACGGATGCCTCAGCGCTGCTGCGAGCACGTGGGACTGGGTCTGCGTCTGTCCTCGCAGAGCAGGAAAGAAATGCTGGGAGGTTTTATTTGGCTATTACAGATCTTTCAGTGCTAGAACAAATGACCTCAACAGTAGTGAGAAGTTGAAACGTGTCTAGTCCAGAAGTGCTCCTTGGTTTGTGGTACGACATCTGTCACTAAATTTGCCCTTTTTATCTAGGCAGAAACTCTACGCTGAAGATGTGGCCTTTGGAGCTTCAGCTTTTCCACCTCAGTATCTGTCCTCTGAGCTCGCTGTCCATCCGTGCGGCTACTCTCCTTACCCCGTGGAGTCTACACCGCGCGTGTGCCCGGTGCCCGGCGCCCCGTATGCTTACGGCCACCCCGGCTGTTACCGAGCATTTCAGACCCTGAAGCCACGGAGCGAGCAGGTGTGCGCTCTCCCTCAAGGCACAAGAGCTGTGTTTAAGGTTCGCAGGTGCCGTGGTGTGTCGGCTGCTTGAGCGTTTAAGACGCAGAGTTGGTCGATTCTCACGTGACACTTCAGTGTCGCTTATCACTTTTGTGTCTTTAAGAATTGATTTTTGTTTAAGCTTTTTTGAAATGTTTGAGTTGTGAATAGTTACAGATTTGCAATTTTAAGCCTTTTGTATGAGGGTAGGTTTCCTTAATTCATGTTAACTTTTTAATTTTTCCTGCAGAAAAAAACGTATGATGAACAAAAGTTTGATAGCAAGAAGGCTGACGGATCTCTGCCATCTGATCTAAAATCAGGTAGAGGCTCACATCCTACTTACATTCTCGCGGATTCTAATTTGAAATCAGGTGACGGTGACAGACTCTCTGATGTTATATCGTCCTACCCCGTTCGCCCCAGAAACGCCACTGTCCTTTGTACACCGGTTCCTGCGAGCATGCTCGCTGAGAAGAGCAGAGGCCAGTGGGCTCCTGTGGGATCCTGGAGGCCTCTCCCCCCGGGGAAGGACCTGTTGTTGGGGAGGCTCCATGATGTGCCCTTTCCTGTGCAAGAACCCACTTGGCGAGTAGGTGACACCACAGGCCTCGGAACATGTCCTTAAGCAGATTGCAGCCACATCCTCTACCGTGTTTGACCATGTTCGTTCTTGAGGTCGCTTCTCTACTGTTCATGTGGGACGCTTTTTAGTAGGTGGGAGAGTTTCCTGTTTACATCCCATCGTGAGCAGTAGCAGACCTGGGCGGTGTAGTTACCCAGGGGACATGTCTACTCTGGCCTTGGAAACTGCTGTTCCAGGCTGTGACCAAAAGTTAGCGATTCTGCGTGGTACTTTTTCCCGTAAATCATGTACTAGTGCAGTTTAATGGCTTATTTATATAGAGTCAAAGTCTTTTTTTTTTAAGTTTATTTTGAGAAAGAGACAGCATGAGTAGGGGAAGGGCTGAGAGAGAGAGAGGGAGGGAAGAAGGGAGGAAAAGAGAGAGAATCCCAATCTCCGCCAGCGCAGAGTCCGACGCGGGGCTTGAACTCCCCAAACTGTGAGATCATGACCTGAGCTGAAACCAAGAGTTGAATGCTCAACTGACGGAGCCACCTGGGCATCCCAAGAGTTAAAGCCTTTGTAGTAGCTTTATTTTCTGGGAACGGTCAACTTCTTTACATGTGTAACATATTACTTGGTATACAAACTTTTCTCTTTGTGTTGACTTTACTCCAAAACCATTTGGCACATGGGAACGTGAAAGGGAAGTTGAACAGTTAACCGTAATGACTCTGGTCTCATGATTAAATGCAGGGGCTTCGTGGTGTCGCAGCCCACATTAGTATTCATCTGTTTTGGAAGGAGACAAATGGGAAAGAGGTTCCAGGTTTAATTTTACTTGCTGTGTTTCAAAATTCCTCTCTAGTGTGGAAGATTTGACACTGAAAAGAAAATCGTTGGCCTCCCTGTAAATTTTCAGAACTCTATAGATGCAGCATAATTAGATTGAGGGAACTCGTTCATCGGCTTTAGGACTGTGCCCAACGTTTGCGGTGTGCTTTGCTTGTTTCTGCCCGTTGGCCGGGCCAGAGCAGCTGGCCCCTGCGGTCCCTTCCGTTTTCCACCGTCTCGCAGGTTGGCAACACTAGCAAAAGCGAGGGCGTTTGGACAGTGCCGCGTCGCTGCGTCAGCCGCAGTAGACTTCCTGCTGTGCAGTTGAAGCGTGAGTGCGGGTCAGCGCACGGCCCCTCCATCTTTACCCCGCTTTTCATTCTGCAAACACAGATGGTTATCACAGACGAACGGACAGGAAATCCAGAATCATCGAGAAAAGTGCATCTGCCTCCAAACCAGGGTTTGAATTTACCAGGATGGATTTTCCTGAACTGCAGGGTCCAGAGAACAGGGAGATCGCAGAGACACGGAAGCAGCCCCGGTGGGGGCCTCTGCGCTCCGCCTCAGCTGACCTCTCTCTCCTGGGAGAGGTGGGGGAACCCGCCGCGGGGACAGCAGAGGTGAGTGCGGGGCCTCCTCTCCGTTCCATTCCTCTTCCCCCGTCGCCCCCGTGTGGCTGTCACGGGCGGTGGGTCTTGGTGTGCGGGTCGCCAGAGGACCTTCTGTGTGGGCTGCGGCCCCGAGTGCAGCTGCTGTTCTAGAAGAATCCCCTAATTAGCCGCTCTGTGTTTGCTGCCTGCTGCTGCAGCTGCGCTCGGTTCTGGTGAGCGTCCCGCTGCCCACACGGCTCCTCGAGAGCATCTGCGCCAGCGTGGCATTGGGCAGCTCGCTTAGCGGTACCGACAGAAGTCGTTGTGGTCAAACAGTAGTATCTCGGACTGCAGGGAGTAGCTTCCGATTTTTTCTGGCCTTTGACCCATACCTCTCGCTGATGAGTCCACGGACTCTGCAGAATGATGGCTGGAAGTGTGTTTTGTTTGCCGCTTAGTGACTTTAAAGTATGCCGTGTTCCACATTCGGTCTCACGGTTTGAGTTCATCCAGGTTCCAGGAAAAACGTGATGAGGTCAGTAGTCCCTAAGACGGCTTGTGACAAATATCTGTTGTGGGAGGGCGGGAAGGCCAGGAGAACAGACACCAGGAAGGGGGCGGCTCCCCCCTCCACTTCCCCCTTGAGCGGAGCGGGCATTCTGCCTCCTCATACGCTCTTGGGTGCCGAGGCGGGCAGAAGAGCCACTGTTCCCCCACGTGGCCCCTGTCCCTGTCGCACCGCGGCGCTTTCCGGTGGCTCAGCTGTGACAGGGAGGGCCGGCTGGCCTCCTCATATACAAGTCTCTCCGCTTGGTGTGGCCCCAGCTGGGTGTGTGTGATAGCTGAGCGTCCAGGGGCCCCCGTCTGCATCACCGCTGCTCTGTGCGTATCCGAGCCCGTGAGCACTCTAGGGAAGTGGGACAGGACTCCGGGGAGGGCCGCAGCGGGTAGGGTCTGACACGTTCTACCGTGGTCACCTGCTCCTGCTTGAGCACTGCGGATCTGGACGAAGTGAGGCACACGTGCTGTGTCAGGACATTTACAGACTCATGGCCTTGTGACGTGTTCACACTCAAATTACATGTGGAGTTTAAAATTTTTCCT